AAGAAAAAATGCTCCATATCGCTAATCATCAGGGAACTGTAAATCAATACACCAGTGAGATATCACTTTAACCTATCAGGATGGCTATAACCAATAAACAAAAGACAAGTGTGGTTGAGGATGTGGAGAAACGGAAACCCATGTGTACTATACTTTTAAGAAAGCAAATCTGTGCAGCCACTATGGAAAACAGTGCGGCGGTTCCTCAAAGAAAAAAAAAAAAGATCCAGCAATCGCAATTCTGGGTATTTATCCAAAAAGAATTGAAATCAGGATCTTGAAGAGACATTACTACTCCCATATTCATTGTAGCAACATTCATAATAGCCAAGGGGTGGAAACAACTTAAATATCCATCCACAGATGAATGAAGAAAAAAAAAGCAGTGCATGTATACAACTGGCCTAAAAAATGGAGGAAATCCTAAAATATGCAACAACATGGATGAACCTGGAAGACATTATACTGAATGAAAAAGCCTGTCACAGAAGGACAAATATTGCTTGATTTCACTTCTAAGTATCTAAAATAGTCAAACTCATAGGACCAAAGAATAAATGGTGGTTATCAGGGACTAGGAGGAGGGAAAAATGGGGAGTTGCTAATCAACATGTACAAAACTTTAATTATGCAAACTGAATTAGTTCTAGAAATCTGATGTATAACATTGTACCTATAGAAAATTATGCTATATTGAACACTTAAAATTCTGTTAAAAGAGTAGATCTCACGTTAAATGTTCTTACCACAATTTAAAAAAAAAAGATACCTGAGATCTCTGACATATTTTCGTGAATTTCTCTGTAACTTTAAAAATATTTCAAAATAAAAGTTTTTCAACTGTAAAAGAAAAAGTGCCAAAAAACATAACGTATGAATAAATCAGGCAGACACTACAGATGGTTTGCTTGATTCATTAACTAACTGGCTTTAAGACTATGGAGAGTTACTATCAGGTTTTCTCTGTATTCAATAAGGCCCCAGCTAGAGACAGTTTGAGTTAGAGCCAGGAGAGTTTTTTATCAGGAGATTGAATTGAACTTGGGATGTCTTACCCAGGGAAAATGCAAAAACTTCTGACTACCAAAAAGTAGTATAAATTCTCATCTGTCATACCAGTTTAGAACTTGAATGAGAGACAGCATTAGAAGGAAAAACTAAATGCTAGAGTATTGTTTTCTTTCTACTGAAAACTCCAACCGTTGAAGCTTGTTGTTGATTGAAAGGAGAGTTAACTGAGATTCTTGCTACAGAACTCACAGAAAATGGACCAGTCCCAGACCATTACTGCCTGGGCGAGGGGGCATGTTGGTTACCCAGGAATCCTCCTTCCATGCTTAGATTTAGATCTCTTAACCTCATTGTTTTCACTATTTCAGGAGAAATGCCTTATTAATAAGTTGGAAAGGACAGTTTTGCTGTCGATGAAGAACAGCAAGAACTGATCCAGGTTACACTATAATTTAAACATCATCTGTGTTTCTCTCTGTTTTTGGTGCTATAACTCTCAAAAATGATGTAATAAGGATAGGTAAGGTTAGGAGAGTTTTTTGAGTGCAGGAAACGTTTACTATTTATTTATATCTCCTATTTGGTAGTGCTGAAGACACGAAAAGAGTCAGTGAATGTTCAACTGAACTGAGTGGGTATAAATAAGGAAGATGTCAGCTGGTCCCTGAAGGTTCCCAGCCTTCCAACCTTCCATTGTTTGCCCATCCTGGGATGCTGCTTAAGAATAGATTCCCTTCTGAAAGAACACACAGAACTTGCATAGTTCCTGATCTACAACACTGGAACAAAAACCATACACAGTACATTAGTCAGGGGACGCACGCCACAACAGATAATAATCTCTTAGTCAGTGATTTGTTGGTTAGTGTTCTTTTAACCCATTTCTCTATTTATATATATTTTATTTATTTATTTTTATTAGTGGGGGGAGGTAGTTAAGTTTACTTATTAATTTTTAGAGGAGGTACTGGGGATTGAACCCAGGACCTTTTGTATGCTAAGCATGTGCTCTACCACTTGAGCTATACCCTCCCCCTAACCCATTTTTTATTTAATGTAAAATACTATTAATTTGAAGTAAGTACTCTGGAGAAGAAAAATTGTTAGACAGATGCATAGGGGAATCAGACTGGTATCTCCTGTCAAGTATATCAGAGCAGTTGAAATTCTGCCTTTTTAACTGTATCCTGAAGCAGTAACTTGGCACCATGGACCATGTGCCATGATAGTTTAAAATAATTTATATGTTTTTCAAGGGTGACTATCATAACTCAGAACTTGCTTCGTCATGGTACAAGATTACTCAGCTAAGAAAAAGTCATGTGTGTTTTGGATGGTCAAGATGACTTCAGAAGTGTCAGGGAGGGAAAAGTGCTATGAAGAATGTATTAAGGGGACATAAGGAGAGAAGACAGAGGGTCCGAGTGGAGTAAAACAGAACCTTGGTAATGTTCTAGTACTTCAGTTTAGTACTGCCCAACTATAATAAATTAAGTTTTTTAGGTACTGGGGCACTTGCTGATTCCATTTTACTGTTTAATTGTATTGAAGCAATGCTTTCCTTTATGTCTGTTCAAAATTTTAGAGTTTTCCTGATGTTTCTTAACATGAGTGTTTTTTCTCCTCCCCTTCTTTTTAAACTTAGAAATCATGCCATCCTCCATCACCAAAGATGCAGAAACCTTAACTACGATGTTGGAATTCACCCCTAATTTGCCACAGGAGCTGACGGCCACACTGTCTGAGAGGCAGCCATCGGCAGAGCCACAACAACCTGCTTTAAAGGACTCAAACCTTAATTTCGAAGAATTTAAGAAAATCATTTTTGACAGACAAAATGAGGAAGAAGACGAGAGTCTTTCAGAATTAAAAAACTTAGGCTTAGATAAACATTCCCGAAAAAAGAGACAGTTACAAATGACACTGGGTGAGAGATGTTGTCAAAAAGGTTGTAGCAGAAAAGAAATGGCTACAGTATGCTGAGCTGAAGCCAGCTGCGTATTCCATCTAATGTTCACATTTTTCTCAATGGCACATTCACTGATGCCTCTGTCACCCCACTGATTATCAGAATATGAGAAATCATCTTTAGTGCTTAGA